CTCGTTATGCTCGAAAGCTGTCTGAGATAACTCTGTTTCTGTTACTGCCAGAATGTTCTGTGTCAGAGTCTTGCCCTGTTGGACATCATTTTCTTGTGTTTCAGGGATCTTTTCCTCTTCGGGGACCATTGTTGGTGGAAACATCACAGTTTTATTTGTATGACTCTCATTTGTTGAGGAGGCTTCCTGATCCTCAACCATTTCAGGTTTTGAAACTTCCTGCTGTTCAACACGTTCTTCAGAAACCTTTTGGTCATTGACGGTTTCTTGCTGGGCGGCTGCCTTTCTCAGCAATGCTGCCCTTATCCTGTTCTTACGTTTGGCTTTTTTTGATAGTTTTGGCTCCACATGCTGCTCATTTATTTCTTGTGCTTCAGAGATCTTTTCGTGCTCAGCAACCATCTGTGTTAAAGACACCAATGTTTCATTTGTATGACTCTCATTTGTTGAGGAGGATGTCTGATCCTCAACCATTTCAGGTTTTGAAACTTCCTGCTGTTCAACACGTTCTTCAGAAACCTTTTGGTCATTGACAGTTTCTTGCTGGGCGGCTGCCTTTCTCAGCAATGCTGCTTTTTTCCTGTACTTACGTTTGGCTATCTTAGGTTGCTTTTTCTTGTCCCTCTTTCGGACCTGATTTTTTTGTGTTTTAGAGACTCCTTTTTCTTGAGTGACCAGCTGTGGTTCAGAAATCATGGTTTCATTTGTAGAATTATAATTTCTTGAGGAATCTGTCTGGACCTCAACTATTTGCAGTGTTAAAACTTGTTGCTGTTCAATATTTTCCTCAGTCGCTTTTTGACTGTCATTGGTTTTTTGGTCAGAGGAGGTTTCTTGTACGTTTTCCCCTTCAAATAATGCTTCTTTTCTGATCTCACTTTCAGACTGTTTAGATAGACTGGTCCATTGTTGATCCCTACTGTGTTGTGTTTCCGAGACCTCTTCCTTTTCACAATTTACCAATACATCTGTTCCTGTTTGTGTTGAAATCATCTGATGGACAGGTGATTCAAAACTGATTTCCAGTACATCTGTCTCACTTTGTGTTAAAACATCTTGATAATGGACTGATTTCAGCTTTGGGCTTTCCTGTAAATCTGTCTGAGATTTGTTGGAAACCATTTGCTTCTGCAGTTGTCTTTGTTCTGAGACAGGCTGCTCCTGGTGTTTGAGTTTCTTACTTAGCTCAAGATTAATGTTGAACATCTCGCTGGCTTCTTTTTCGGTGACAGGTGGAGGAGAGGTGTTCATATTTTCTTTTGTTGAAGCCTCCACTTGAGTTTTTCCCAACGTTGAAACATCTTCCTTTTCAACTTTTTCCCCACAAAGACTTTGTACTTTAAGTTCGTATGTTTCTATCCAAACTTTGAATGGTACTTTTTTCTTTTTGTTGCGCCTAATAGATGGCTTTTGCTCCCCTTGTTTATCGGTGACCTGCTGTGAAACCATTTGATCACTCGGGGTTTGTGGCTCAGAAGCAGGAAAAGTAAATTCTTTGATGCTTTCTGAGGTTTGACTTGCTGAAAGATTCTCCTTCTGGATCTCCATAGTCTGGTTGGATGTCATTGTACAATTGTTTAAATACTAAGATAAGCACTTTTTTTTTGCAAAGCAATAAGAACTGAACTCAGAACTTGATGTAAATGTTCAACAGTGTTTTAAAACAAAGCTGAAAGTTGCTTTAAGCTGCGAAAAAAATCTGCATGTGAAAAGGTCTGTAGCATGGAACTGCAAAGCTGTTGTGATACAATGACCTATTCTGACTGGCTTCTAAAGAATTCTGCCACTAGACTGTGATGTCATCATGCTTGAATAGACTCTGATGACATCATAGAATTCCGCATTTTAATTAGGTTCACACCCACACCCACACACACACACACACACACACACACACACACACACACGTTGTGTCACAATATCCTTGTGGGGACCTTCCATTGACTTCCATTCATTTCCCACTAATTTATATGGCCTAACCATGACCCTTGCCCTGACCCTAACCATTACCGACACATACCTATCCCTAAACCTAACCTAAACTCAATTCACACCTTAGTCCTAAACCTAACCCCCACCCCCAAGAAGAGAATCTTTCCTTATTGGGA